TTTTATTTTAAGTGTTAAAAGTATTTGTTAGTGATAATGCAGGCTGTGGCTGGACAAAGCTCGAGCCTTGTGGTTGCATCAAAGTTTCAAAAAGTCCGTTCTCTTTTTTCAAGGTAACTGACATAGATAGATTTGAGGGGTAACTACAAAAAAAGCACGGAGATTTTTGACCTAATTAACAAAAAAAACGTTGAAATTACAAAATCAACCTCGTAAGTTAATGTGGGCTACGCGGCATTAATATAAGGTGCTTTACTATTTTTATAAGTGTGTCGTATATAATTCATTAATTTGTAGTGTCTGCCACAGGTTATGGCCTTTTATCCATATGCATATTTTGTTCGACTGCTTTTGGTATGTATTCTGTCTTATTGTATAGATTCTTCTGCAGAGTGATCCAAAACAAAGTTAGAGAAAATGAAGCCCAAAGTTTGCGGACACTAGCAAGTGCAGCTTCGGACATGGGAGCTGACACAGGCTTAGAAGAAGAAGAAGAAGAAGAAGAAGAAGAAGAAACAGAGGAGACGAGCAATGGGGAGATTTTCTTGGAGTGCATGTTGAAGATGGGTAATAATATCTCAGATATCGATGATTTGGTTGACTTTGTTGAGTGTAAACAAGGAAAAGATTACCCATCTTGGTTAAAGAATCGGCAAAGGTTTCGTAAGTGGAGATCAGAGAAAATAGCCATTTTGAAGTGGAAAAGAAAGAAAAACACTTGGAGAACTCTTAAAGGGAAAACAAAATGAAGATGAGAGAAGATAGCCACATTTTGAAGTGGAAAAGAAAGAAGAACACTTGGAGAACTCTTAAATGGAAAATAAAATGAAGATGAGAGCCACATTTTGAAGTGGAAAAGAAAGAAAAACACTTGGAGAAGTGTTAAAAGGGAAAAGAGAGAATGATTAGGAGTGTCGTTACCTAGGAGACAGCTATGTGAATACAAAAAAAAATTCAGCGGAAGAAGGTTGTACGTGGAATGTGGGGGAAAAAAATGGAAGGGTTGTACGTGCAATGTAGAGAAAAATAGGTTGTAATCTTCAGCTATTAGCTTCTATTTGATCTAAACAATCCGTGCATTGTCCAAACGCAACACAAATTGATCAACTATAGAGACAAACTCTCTTGTTTAAGAATTTCTATAGGGAGATTCTACAGTCCTGTTACGGAATCATTCCGTCGAGATTGGTAACTCGTGCAAACGAAAAAACATATGCAAAATTAACTTGCATTTTAAACACTACAATATGCATCCATCCAATCTATTCTTGTTCCAATTTTAAACACTACAATATGCATACCAGCAGTCGGCCGCGTAATATTCATATAAGTGAACCTACAAATTAGAAGAGAACGTAGACAAAACTTTTGATTGGAATTTTTCACTTGTAAAGACAATTTATTGAAAATTATATTATTTTGATGCATTGTTTTATCTTGTAACGTTGCATTTATTATATATTTGCACATATGATAGTTCTTAGATCGTTTTTAGCTATGAGCATAGTTGCGTATTTGATGGCGATCATAGAACATGTCTTTAAAATTATGATATTAAATAAGTTCCAGGTTGATCGGCGTTTCGAGACATTACATTGAATAACTCAGTAAGACTTGTGCATATGATGCATGCTCGTTAGACGAGGATGTTGCATTCCATCAACATCAGCATGTGGACGCAAATGCATCTATGCAGGTGCTTGTTGGGGAACAAGTTCACTGAATATGTCTCGATGAAAATTCTTAACGGGAAGTTTCTATAACTGTCGAAAAAAAAATCAAGTTGCAATAGTACATGACTGATCCTCAAATTTGAGGCACAATAATAATTTTGTACATGTTGTGCTTTACTTTGATTTATCATCCTTTGATTGTTGGACAATCATAAAAAGATATTTTGGGTATTGTATTGATTGACGAGCAATCGTCAATGACTCTTGAATACGAGATTCAGAGGACTGGAAATTGGATTTAATGGATGACCAATGCGATTCACGCTATTTTATGGTGAAAGAACAACAAAAATACAAAACACGCACGATTTTGTCGATCTGTTGGGAGATCGGGGAGGAGAATGATTTCTCCAAAAGTATGACTAGTAGAGAGTATTTTGTTACAGTGGTGGCTCTTGTTTGAACTTTTGCATGTTCTTGTATTGTTGTACTGCTATATCTGGTTAGTGTTTCTTGTTCATTAAGTCGAGGTTCTTTGACCTCGAATTCTCCAAGGATATGATTGATGATCAAGAGGAATCGCTAAATATTTCTAGTTGTCGTATTCACATAGATAGGGCCACATCTATCCCGGCGATGAGGGCTTCATATTTAGCTTTACTAGCATCGATCCTGTGCACATGCACAGATGCAAATAAAATTTTATATACTATATGTATGTGTATGTAATATTTAAATCATAAGTTAGATGATGAGCAAATCACATTTTATAAATTTTATTATTAGTAAAAATGAACGAATATACATAAACTATTAACTTACATAATAATCTTTATATCGATTGCAGCTATATAATTTTTGCAATTTTTTTTAGTTATGAACAATTGATTGGATAAATTCATATTGAAATTATTATTATAGCATTGGTGTACGAAATTTTAAAAAGTTTAGTTATATCTTAAAAATTAAATAACTAATGTTAATAAAAAAAGAATTTGCTTAATGAGTTAAAACAAAAAATAATAATAATTTAAATAAGTAGTTTGAAGAAAAAAATTAATTAAAATATCATTTAATATGACTTTATGATTTGTTAGTAGTAGTTGTTATATAGTAAAATAAATAAAAATATAAAAATTAATTAATGCAAAGTAACGTCAAAAATTTTGAGATTTTATTAAATGTTTGGCTAGCAATTATATATATATATATA